CAAGCATTGAGCATCGCTTGAGAGCGGTTGACGACGACAGCCATACTCCCTATCCTCATTGACGTACTCAGCAACACCAAAGCCACCATAGTAGAGCAAACATGATATCGGCCCGGTACGGTATCTCCGGGCTGCTAGCCTCGGAGTGTTAGTAATATAAAAGAGGGATGATGATGGTTATAATGGTGTCAACTCCTACTCCTCTCCCTAGGCCTAGACTAGTCCTTATACCACTTCTTAGCATGAGCAGCGAATGCTTCCGGACTAACCGCCTCGACCACGATGGGCATGAACCTGAGCCCTTCGATGGACGCGACTGTATCGTGATAGCGGCTTACGCATGTAGGGTCCCACAGAGCTCCGAACACTGACCATAGAAGACGCCTTCACGCTGTATGAAGGTGTTGATCTGATGGAGGATGGTTACCTCAGGGCCGAGGGGAAGGGTAACCCACCTTCACCAACCGGCCGGGAGTAGCATCACATTTGATGCCCAATGATGGTACTGACCATGAATGGATAACGTCAGCTCCTGTGATCTGAGGGCGGGGATAGGGTCAGGGGTCAGGGTCTACGTGGGCTTACTAGGAATCGTATGTGGGTCCGCGTAGGAACAGTAAGCCTCTTGTCGACCTCTAGCATGCGGGCCATGCCTGGTTTCAAGTCCATATCCCCCACCAGGTTACTCTGGAAGGAGTACCTAAGGTCGGTGATAGGGCGCTGCAGCAATAGAGCTGCTATGATGGTACCAGCTTGGGATAGGGGCACCCTCGAGGTACTTCTGAGGGGTCGGGTAGTCCTCTGGGCTCACATCCTGCAGCTTGACCTCCTTCTCCTCCTCAGCATTGGATATGTTAGCCGGCCCAAACAGGGATCGGAGGAGATTAGTGACGGCCATCGAAATCGGTGTTTCAGGCACCTTTGCGATGCTATCTTGCGCTCCGGCCTGATCAGCCTTGCGTGATTTAAAAAAGCGCTCGCCCGAAATTACTGTAGCACGAGCGCTCACGTAGATGATAGCGAGTTGTCGGGAGCGCGTAGCGGTTAAGGAGAAGGACCTGTGGGAAGTGGACCTCATCCAGCTCTACTTCCTAGTATGGCGGAGGTAGTCATTCGAATGCTACCACCAGACGCCTTCACGGGTATCCCCTCGTTGCCCCCAGAGGATGGGCGCACTGACGTTTCTCGAGTGAGATGTGGTATAGGAGGGGACTGTTCCTTCTATGAAGCCTCTCAGGAACTGTACTACATCGTAGTGGATGCTAAATTCGTGGGAACAGCTGAGTTGCCCCGTGACCAGGTGTGACTGCCGTGGTGATGGGTGCTCGCCCTCGGTGTTCCATCTTAGAGTGTTGATGTACTCCGACTACCTCTATTACGTTGTCCGGAGACCGCGAGTTTAGTCCGCCACCTTAGCTCTCTCGAGCTTGCCGACTACGAGGGACGGAATACTTTGGTAAGCTCCCGTGGGGAGGCGTCTCTTTTCTAGAGTCCGCGCGACCCGCTTGTTAAAAACTCTCGCCATCTTAGCGTCTCGGTTCTCGGTCACAAGTATCGCATGCTTACCTCACACTGGCTGTAACGAACAAGGGCGATTCAGGAGCAGCTTACTTGGTTGAGAAGGCCGTTCCCCCTCAAGGGTACAGTGTCTCGAGCGCGCGATCTTGACGGTCCAGTTCTAGTGTGAGCATCACGGATGGCTCCCTCTCCCGCAGCTCGTTGTCCCTCACCATCGGGCGAGCCCCTTCTTATGACATAGTGCTCACGGACCGCTGCGTTAGTCGGAACCATGCGATACTACGCTGGCAGCGGGACGAGAACACACAGTCGATGCTGGCTCCAACGATGTAAATGTAGCTGCCCGTCCTCTGACGTGTGCATCCACTAGGGAGGTCCTTTCTACTTGTTTCAGCGAGCCCCTCAGTGTGTCGTCCGCTACTTGGGTCCAGATCCCTCCGCTCGCCGAGCTGCCACTCAAGGCGGGCATGTGCCTCAAGCTCGGCAATGAGGCGACAGAATGTCGCATCATTCGAGCGGACTCCGGTGAGTATGCGGTCGGGTCTGGTAGTGTTGCATGAGAGCTCTGGACTTCTCGCTGCAGAATGCCTGCTTCTCCACATGCCAGCGGATGCAGTCTTGGAGACCCCGGATGATTCGTGTCTGCCGGCTGAAATGGATTATGGTGAAACCATCACGAAAATCAGGTTAGGTTCGTAGTATTACGCATGACACCGTGATCTTATTCCGGCTTAGTCTGCCTGGGAGTGTCATAGTAGGTACTCGCGAAATGGTTTGAACAACATAACGATAGGTCGGAGTCGGAGTAATTCGTTGGTCATCCATGCTGATAGGACCGTATCGAGCTTCCATTGCCAAATTGTTCCCGGAAGTTCCAATTCGATAGATGGTACGGTGTCAATGGAGGGACTCGTGGCCTCATAGGCTCCATCTCCTCATGGACAATTCATGTGTAAATATCGACAGTTTGGCCGAGTGGTCTAAGGCGCTGGCTTAAGGCGCCAGTCCGAAAGGGCGTGGGTTCGAACCCCACAGCTGTCACTTGTTGTATATCTCGCGTTAACTTTATAACCTAAATCTTTTGTGCAATATAAGCTAACATCTACGCAACACATCTTCCAAACGAGAGGAAGACGCTATGTGAAAGGAGGATCTAAGTGCTCGTTGGGCATGGTTTGTGCAAAACCTGCATGTTTGACTTGCTCTCGATACTACACTTCTGCGCAGATCCATCTAATTCGCATAATCGATGGTATCTCACTGATCTCGGAGGAACAGGAACTGCGGTGAGTACATAGGGCGGACAACTCATCTTTCGGATATTAAAGTCTCCTTTTTCGGTGGATTTCATGTTCCCGCTTCTCTCGTGGCACTCGGTTTTGGTGCAGTGGTGGCTTGTTATCCGTGCCCACTTCCCCCACAAACCTGAGCTTAGCAGATATGCCTCCCTGCTGGCCCTAATTCGGAACACCCTTTATTCAACAACGATGTGTTGAACATTGGTAATACATCTATCAAGATGCAGATGGGCTACCACCCATGATAACTTGACTACATGTAGATGAATACTGCCTTTCAATGATGCTGTTTTGTGTTCCTCGATTCCCATCTTGGATGCGGCTTGGAATGGACATGAGTCAGAGGAGAGGGGTCGCGAGACGGGGAGCGGAACTTGGCATGAGAGACCCCCTTGACCGGAATTGATCGCGTAACAAAGCGGCTTCGATGTTGATGTCGCCCATGCGTTCATCGTTGTTTCCAGTGGTTCAACCGTTAGCGGATGCAGCTACTATCACCGATTCGATGATCGGTAGTTTTTGGCACAAGGAGAGTTGAATTACTGGTGAAGTTTTGCACAGCGGAAGTCTCGTAATCCGAGAACGTACGTGAGCCTTCATGCGTAGTGGTTCTTCTACAGTAGTCATCGTAAAACTACGAGTTTAGCTAACCTTGGATCGATCCTGGATCTCTCGGATGCAAGTCTGCTGTTCTACGAACTGAGCTACGATGAAGAAATTTCAATGTCGTATTGAGATGTAACAATCCGTATCGAGTTGGCACGAGTGGTTCTTTCTATACTTCCCTTAACTTCCCGGGGCGACTGTACATGAGCAGACTCAGGTCGTTGCGGATGATTGATTGGAACTGCCTTGAAATGTCAGTCAACTCTCATCGACACGAATCAAGTGGAATGTTACGCTGCTTGTGCGAATAGAGAAGAAGATTATAGCAAAACTCACGCGTTTAAGGTGCACACTAGAATTGCATATATTGTCACTGGAGTGTTCAAATGTACTATGCTGATGAGGGTCGTCAATCATCACCTTCTCCGTTGACCCCGCGGTCGAGCATGCGATCGAAAGCCATCGCGAGGTTTAACGAAGAGCAGGCGTTGAAATGGGCTAGCAAGAGAAAGAGCATGATACAGACTGCACGGAATAAGAGGGTTGAACAAGCACAGGGTATACGATTGATGAGGACTGAGAGATGATATGCCTGTTACAGGTGTCTTGACGGAGGAGCATACTTTTAAGCCGGAGGTAACGGCCTTGTCGTCTCCACGTAATTGGCGAGAAGGGGATAATGTAATACAGGATGCTGGGTAATCGTCGGGGATGTATATCATTGAGCTCGTTGGTGTAGTAGTAGTAGTAGTAGTAGTAGTAGTAGTAGTAGTAGTAGTAGTAGTAGTAGTAGTAGTAGTAGTAGTAGTAGTAGTGGTAGTAGTAGTAGTAGTAGTAGTAGTAGTAGTAGTAGTAGTAGTAGTAGTAGTAGTAGTAGTAGTAGTTCGACTTGTCCCTCCCCCCAGGGTTCGGATATGTTCTTTTTCCATGTATCCCACTATTGGAGCTTTCATAAGTCAGGAGTTAGAACTAGTGAAGGGTTATACATCTGCCGATAAGTTCTCAATTTGTGTACGATCATCATCATGCTGATATCGTTCGATAGTCCGTATCGCCTCGTACTCACCACCGTTTATCTACCAACTCTTAACTAAAGCAGGATGAACGTTTTTCAATGAATACCTACTTGGTTCTCTCTGATCGTTTAAGCCCTTCAGAGCGAATCACGAAAGTCTCCAAGTGCAGCATCAGAGAGATCCTCAACAGGACGTCCCATCGCCCAGGATGCTCTGCGAAGGGATGCCGAGCAGAGGGTATTACATCGCTAGTAGGAACTGTGTTATACTATAGTTGTTGGTGTAGGCCAAGACGGGGGAGATGGCATTCCTTAGAATGGCTCTACAAGAAGCCTTAGGCGAGGTTGAGAGATGGAAAGGGCGTTGCGAGGAGGTGCCGGATGGCGTTCATTAGTGGGTTGAATACTCTTGTAGGTTACCCTAGAACTTCGCCGAGTCAAATCGAAACTAAAACAGCGAGAGGAAGAGGTCTCAGATCCCTTCATAAGGTACTCCTATACAGTGGCCTCTCTTAGATGGTGGAGCTTCGGGGATTGGGCAACTCGTCGCGGCAGAGAACTCTACATGAAGAGAGGCCGGTAGTAAAAGGCATATCATCAGGCAGCAGGTTAACGTAGGGTAGTATGGCTGGTGATGATGATATTGGGGATGTCCGTACATCGGACAGGGTTGGTAGGGCTAGGTGGTGGTTTTGTCGCAGTTAATATCAGTTCGCAGGCGACCGAGTCCCTGTCGAGATGTCGGCGACGACTGGCAGAAGCAGTAGGGCTGATGAACGGCGGTCTCGTTCCTCGTCACCCGAGACGTTGGAGAGGTTGGTCTGTATGTTGGGGGAAATGGTTCGTTCGAATAGGGAGCTGTCAGCTCATGAGCATGTCTAGAGAGAGCTGTCTCAATGTATAGTCTTGGGTTGTAGTGAGCTGAATATAATGATGATGACCAGTAGTGTCTCTTATAAGTCACTGATCTATGGCACCGGAACGGCGAGTGATGACGCAACTGTCACCGACGATGCCCTCCGCCTCTACTTCATCATCATCCTCATCATCGTTGGAAGTGCCCATAGTGGTAGGAGGAGGAGGAGGGACGGAAGCCACGCCTATGAAGAGTGCTTTGACAGTGGTAGTATGGGCAAGCTCGTTTGGTGTTCATTTGGTGGGGTAGGTCCCTGAGGACCTCCCAGCTATTAAATATCGTCACACGATGGTACTCGTATCTCGTGCCTTGTACAGTCGTAGGATCGCTGAGATGGTGTGTACAAGTCACGAGGCGATGGCTGTTGCCCACAGCAGAGGGGCTGACGAGGACGAAGAGGATAGTCCTAAGCATGAGCACTCGAGTAGTGACAATAGCGCGGCTGCAACGAACTGTGCTTGTACCAGGAGGAATGCTAGAGCTAATATGAAAAAGTAGAGAAGTGTAGATGGTGTGGTATAGTGTAGTAGTCCCATACCAGGTGCTATTGCGCTCTATCCCACTCGGCATCAGCTAACTCAGCTCAGCAGCAGCAGCAGCAGTCGGTGGTGATGGCATGTGGCAGTTCAGGGCCATGGGCCCACAACGCCTCGGTCAGCTCTAGTGGTGTGGCCAGTCCGAGTGTGGCGGGCTTAGCTCGTTCGGTGACCAGTGAGAGCACCCTCAGTGTGCAGGATAGAGGGACGGCTTCCTTGGACCTACGAAGGGGCTTCTCGAGCTCAACGACTGTCATCAGTAGGATTGCCTT